AAAATTTACTAATAAAATATAATAATATAAATTTAACTAATAAAATATCTACTAATAAAATTGATTATATTACAGTACAATCAGCCCTATTCAATAAAATTGTTAATAAAGCCTTTTAATAAACCCAAGTTACAACATTCATTTAAAAGTACATTAAAATACTTACTTAATAATACATAGTAGATGCCTTTGATCTGTGCCAAATCAATTTTTGTCTCACCATTCTACTAAGTGTTATTAGTCAATCTTGCTCTATTTTAAATGCCAGATCATCATTTTCTTTTTTCTTGTTAGAGGTGAGGTTTTGGTTAAGTCATTTCTGACAGTATTAATATTAAAAAAAAAACCATTAATGCTTTTAATAAAAGTGCAACTTTGTGTATAATCTAGCAGAAATAATGTGTAATTTTTTTAATTCTAATGGCAATTTTAACAAATCTGGTATTAATTTTTAGATTATTGGTATTGGTATGTTTTCTGATTTTAATAATCTAGTTTTTTCTTAAAGAAAAGTTTTTTTTATTAATAATATATACTAATACATTTCAGTAATGTGATAAATTTAGCTGTTTACATCACTTGATCGATAAAAATAATAACTTCTCTCTATTTTTACCAACTTTAAATAACTGAAACTTAAGGCTTTATTGCAGTATTAAGACAAACATATTGCTGAATAATCACATAAATAGCAGTTATCTATATGATTGACTTCTCCAATCTGCCTTCATCCAATATACTTTTTTTTTTTAAGTTCATTCAATATGGTCTTTATATGCTAAATGTATGTAGTAAGAACATTAATATTGAATTAACTTTTATTCTATTACTATTAGTATTACAATTTAGTAATAAACTGTGAATCTTGGATAATAGTCTTTGTCATGTGGATGTGCTTTATAAAAATGATCATTCTTTTTAAAAATTCTTTACAAAAACCCTCACTATACTAAATACTATTTTTATATGGCTATTGGATATTATTTTACTGTTTATCTAGAATAACAGTGATATCAGAAAAGATATTCAAGAAATTGTATATTATTTTACTACTCAACCAGAATAACAGTGATATCAGAAAAGATATTTAAGATCTAAGTAAAGCTTTCTATCATTTTGAAACTTATAATGTGCTCGCAGGATAGAAAATACCAAAAGCACCAACAAGATGTATATTAAGCAATTTGTAAAAGGAAATGTTGATGCTATATACGATATTATAAGAAAAAAGTTTTTTTTGGCCAATGCTCCCAATAGTGATATTTCTGATCTTATTTATCAAGTGTAATTCCATTTTGACCATTTTTATCTATTCATCATAAATATTTTCCTAATTTATTAGATACAGAAATACTACAGTGAAGTTCAAGTAGGTGACGAAGAGACTAGGTTTTTGTTGTTCAAATATTTTAACATATATTAACAATTCAAAAAATAATTACGAAATCTACAAATACCATTGACAACTTTAACAATTATGTTATTAAGTTCACTGTCAAAAAAACTAAAATATTATATGCTTTATCAACATTTATTACATCCCTTATTTAAGCAAAAATCAGTATCAGTATATATAATAGTAGAAGAAATTATTCAGTAATGCAATTATCAGAAGTTTAATAATTTGGGTTTATAGACATATTTATTAACATTTAGCGAATTAGATTTCATTAAAAATAATAATATTCTTTGTTTATAAATTTAGTGTAATAATTATTCTATTGTTTAAGATCACAACTATAATGAGAAAAATCACAAAGTAAAAGATCTCTGCACAATGCACTAATGGGAATGTTGCTACTTTCACCGATAATTGAAATTAATACATGTATCAGTATTATATCCAAAGTGAAGATTATACTTTTTAAAACTTGGTGTAATAATATTTAATAACAGGGATATACAATTGAGAGATTATGAAACTGTAAGGGAAGGTGAAAGTGGATTTTCTTGAGCATTGCCTTGATTCTTTTAGGTAAATCAGAAAATAGTATCCTTATTATGTATTAATTATTACAGTTTATCTGATTTATCTAACACTAAATTCTACATTACAAACAGTTAATTGATTATAATCAATTAATTTTTATTGATTTTTATTTTTATTTGATATTGATAAGGTGTTAATAGTTGATCTAAATCAATTATAATCAATATTGATATATATATTATACCTGAATTGAAATATACAAAATTCTTATCCAGGATGGCCCATTTCTAAATCCAGTTAGTGATACAATATTTATATAATTGCCTTTTTATAACAGCTTATTAAAATAAAGAATCCTCGAGTAGCAAGTTCTTTTGGCTCGAATTTTAATAATTTATTTAAATTTGCAAGTGCTTTTTTATACTTGCCTATATGAAAAAGGTTCTTTCTCAAATTTCTAATATGGATATAAATCTAATTCAGATTATTATCTGTCCAATTTCTAATACTTTATTTAAATTTGCAATTGTTTCATTTTATATTTTATATTTTCCTGTTTTTTAATTCATATGTATTTTATTAGATTAATTTATTTTCATTATTATCAGTGATTATAGTTAATTGTTAGTCAAACCTCAAAGGCAGTAATGCTAATAAAAGATTACGAGAAGTGGTAATAGTTTGGCCTGGTATTATAAATTTCATCTGAATATTGGCCCATATATTGCTTTAGAAAATATTAATTTATATATACTATTTCTGATAGATTTCTTAAAAGGTCCGATGTTAGTTTTTCATAAGTGCTGAGTCATAACTTGCAATTGATCCATAATGTTTATTTTGAAATTTGGTCTTTAAGATAATATAATAAGAATATTTGTATTGAAAATTTTTATTTAATGGTCAAAAGCTAGTTGTTATATAAGTTATTTCCTATTGATTTTACTATCGGATTGAATAGTAATAATAAGCTATCATATTCTTACTACGATAGTGCATAATTTAGAAATAACATAAATATTTTTTTTCTATTTCATTAGAAATAGTATAACAATCTATTAGGAATGATATTTTTTCTCTGCTCATAGAATTGGATCAAGCATATTATAGTAAGGATGAACTTTTTAAAGATATTTTTTTTGGAAAATTGAAATAACAGATTAAAGGAAGATAATTTGAAGAGTAGTTTTTATAGCTAAGAAGTGGTATCTGATAATGATTAGGGTTAAGAGTTAAGAATTATTCTGCGCAATCTCCATTTAATAACATGATTCTAAATTAGTCTTTTACTTATTTGTAAATAGTCAAGCTTAAAGTAAAGACTAGAATATTTTTGTAAATTTATCAGAATCAAAACAATATTTGGATACTTTGCAGTAATTTATATTGTTTATAATAAAATTTTTACCTCAATATATACAAAAAAAATTTCTAATCTATTTGAAATTTTATTACATTATATTTTCGAAGCATTTCTTTCATATAAAGGTTTGGGATTGAATAGAATCAAGCATTTCACCAACTTTTATCAGAGCAATTTTGTTAATAATCTATTTTTTTTTTTATAAACCCTTCTAACGAGAGATACCATAAGGCGTATTTTCAATAGTACTCTTTAATATAATATTAGGGCATTTTTAACTTTTAAAATAAAATAGCTGATTGAACTATTATATCTTTGAAGTAAAAAATCAAGAGAAAATTATATTCTCATTATAATTAGACAAATAATGATAATAATAATAGATACGTATGTATGTAAATATACAATTTTAATTTTAGCCAATCAGAATTTGCATTTCACAAAAATTACGGAATCAGTTGAAATATTGAATACATCAAAAGTAGTGCGAAATCATCATAGAAAATAGAGATCTGAAACAGAAATGTCACGAAAAGTAGTGATTTCTATGTACAGTATAACATCAATATAATGAGCCCCAATAAACCAAATCTGCCATTATAATAAAGTTTTTTTTAGCTAAAAATGAACAAATATAGATAAGCAAGATTAGGCCGATAATGTACAATTGAAAAAAAAATTTAATAAAATTTACTGTTTACATTCTATTCTCTCCTCTTTTGAAAAAGAAATGTAATGTAAACAACCAAATCAACTTGGTCACGCCTAATAAATACTTTACCGAAATTTTTAACATTAAAGTGAAAATTTTGTACAGTATAGCATTAATAGTATAGACTTTGATCTATTGCATATATTAGAGGATTATTATCATTTTAAGAGGCAATGTAATATTCTAAATATTTGAAAAAACTGTAATCAATATTATGTTTATAAAGTTTATTCAAAATAAATAAAATAATTTATTAATTTATTGCTTATTGTTATTATTTTGTTAGTCTATAAATTGGATTTTTTTTGTCCAAGTTACATGAATTTTTGGTGCTAATATACTTGTCATGTGATGTCTAAAACTTTTTGGGTGCCGATTTTATCTGGTCATTTTAATCAGCTAGCTAAACTAGCTAACTAGACATTAGCTAAGCTGTTGGCTAATGATTTACTTTACAAATCTTTCAAAGCTTTACAGCTGTTATCATAATTTCTAAAAACTAGATAAAAATTAACTGTATAATCTCTGTTGTACTAATGACTACCTTCAGCATAATTTTTTATATGTGAATAATCATATTTATAATAAGCATATTGTAATTGATAATTTTCTCATAGAAGATTTCCAGTCTTCATATTGATCATCAGGAATCTCTTGTATATTTATATATGTTTCTTTTTTTAAGTTTTTACACTTTATACAAACTTTTAT